CTTTGTCGTAGAGTTCCTCCTTGCTGAGGACGCGTCGCCTCTTGCGGAGGAGCATGACGAAAACTATGGCGGCGCCGAGGAAGATGCTACAGCCAACGTGTTAGAGAGCCGACTTCGAAATGCAAGGGCGGCGGTATTCACATACCACACGAAAATGGCAATGGGGACTCCAGTCTTGAGCGCGGTGCTCACAGGCTTCTCGCACGTGTTGCCCTGGTCATTGTCCTTGCACGGTTCCCGGGAGGCCAAATTGACGACTGGCATGGTGAAGAGGAAGCGAGCGTCCTGATAGCAACGAGTGGGGATCGCGTGGTCGCGAGGAAAAGGTTGTAGTGGGAAAAGTCGAGAGTGAAAGTGGTCTCGGGAGGGGAGAGGGCGGATAAAGTGCTAGACGAAACGCGCGCGAGGGGAAGTAGTTGGTTATAAAGGTCATCAAAGTCTTGCGGCCAAAGCGATGGGGAGATTAGGGAGCAGGTAGGGATGGAGTCGGTGGCAGCCAATAACGGAATCCATCCGTCTCAGCAGCAGCCAAGGAAGAAGCTCGGGAGCGCGGGACAAACGGCCAGGGCAACTAGCCCAGCACAGCACGCACTCGACTCCCAAACATTGCACACACAATCAGCATTCCCCAGCCGCGTCGCACCTCGCATCATCAACCTCGTCCATGGCGGGCGAGCCCGCCGACGAATCCTCTCGTCCCCAGCTTGTGCAGCTTCTGCATGCCAAACCCCGTGTCTTCATCGTCCGATCGTCTCTGAGACGATGAGGCACCAATCCACCGCCCGCGCCCAAAGACACGCAGCATCGGACGTCGTCATCCACCACTGGACCTTATCTGCTCGTCCTGAGCTGTAAGACTCTCACACGAACCTCTGACATCTCTGATGCGCGCGTCCAACCTTCTTGCCAAGCTGGCTCTTGGCCTTTTTCAACGCCCGCATTCATCCGGTCTGGCAAAAGTTTTGGACAATGCAAATCTTGAGAACAAGGTCGTCTTGCCCGCGTCTCGCTACGAGTACCAACCGGCAAGATTCCGTCTTCGACCTGACTGACTGACTGACCGACGGCCACGTCTTGTCAAGTTTGAACGACCGAGCAAGAGGGCATGTAGCTGATTCGCCATGCTTGCTGCAGCTCACCTCCTGACCCCGTTTAAGCTTTGCCTTGTTTGGGACCTCTTCAGCCGCCATCATCCTGTCAAGCTCCAAAACAGGCTCGGATATACGCACGGCCGCGATCCTGGCCGCCCCAGGCCTCCAAGGAGCCTTTCCACGTGTTGCGCTAGGTCGCCTTTTCCGGCCGTCTGACCAAATGACTCGGAATGACAGTCGTGACATTGACGGCAGTCATCATTCAAACTCGACGACGCGGGATTGATTGGAGCGTGTTGCAACGTCCATTTGCAACGTACGCTGTCTTTCATCTGAACATTGCAACATCCTGCTGCGAGATGCTCTACCGTGCTGCATGCAGCCCGCCCGCGCTCAGCGCAATGTGCTTGTACCGTACTGTACACAGTACATGTTTGGTGTCGCGAAAGCTGCTTCCCACCACCAAAGGATTCTTCGAAACACGACTGCAGGTTAAGATTGAATGCGCGGATTGCAGATCACTGTGCAGCAAACAAATCCTCATGCTAAGACTGATCATCATGCTTAAATGGACTTGTTTTCATCGCTCAAACCAGCCACCCGTCATGTCGAAGCAGGTAAGCAGTCAAATTCCATTGGCAGTCCTCAATTCCCATCTCTGTCTTGACTTTCCATCTTGCGCGATGCTACCTCCTCGCGGCCTCCTCTACACCCATCATCATTATCGCATGGTCCGTCGTCCAGGCAGGTAGGTAGTACAGGCCATCACGTTATCCTCAAACATCGGAATCCTTCCCCCGGAACTCGTGTTGCAAACCTCCATTTCAGCTAGTCGCTTTTCTACCAGTCTTTCAGCTCATTTGCCATTGTTGCTCTACCCGCCGTCTTCCACGAGGCCAATCTCCGAGCGCAGCTAGTGTCTTTTCGGCAACGTTGCCGTCTTTGACGACTCGCACCGTCTCCGCTGCTGCGGCTGCGTTGTTTATGTCACTTGCGGATATAAAAGAGCGCATTTCTTGCGGGCAAGTCTCGCTTCTACATTGCAAAGCCAGTCTCTTGATGCGACTATCTTCAAGCAAACAGACTGCGACATGATCTCCCGGCCAGTTCCCGATCCAAAAGCATGTTCGGAGCGCTCGTCGTCTAACCTCAGCATCTCGACACTCCAACTACACCTCACTACACTGGAAGACAACCAGAACGGCGCGCGTCTCTTCCACTCCAAAACCGTTCCAGCCAGCCCGTCTACTCATAAATCACGCGATTGACCAACGTCCCAATACCTTCAATCTCAACCCTCATGTCGTCGCCATGCTTCAAGACAACCTTCGGGTCCCGCATGATGCCCACGCCGGGCCCCGTGCCCGTCATGATGACGGTGCCCCTCTCGAGCGTCGTGCCCTGGCTCAAAAAGCTAATCTGCTTGGCGATACCAAAGATCATCTCGCGGGTATTCGAGTCCTGAACGGTGCTGCCATTGTGCAGGGCACGAATGCGCAAAGCACCAGCATCGGGCGCGGCGAGGGCGCGCGGAGCAACGAGGACAGGGCCAATGGGTGCGCTGCCATCGAAGCCCTTGCTGAAGCTCCACTGGCTCGTCGCGAACTGCTGGGTGCGAGCGCTGACGTCGTTGCCGGCCGTGTACGCCAGGACGTGGTCGAGGGCCTTGTCCTCGGGGATGTCGCGGCCCTCCTTGCCGATGACGACGGTCAGCTCGGCCTCGTAGTCCGAGGTGCCGTCTTGCGCCAGCTTGGGGACGGGGATGGCGGCCGGGTGCGGCCCGTTGATTGCGGTGCGCGGTTTGATGAAGAGGATGGGCACGGTGGGGAGGGCCATGTTGGCTTCGCGGGCGTGGTCGCGGTAGTTGAGGCCCATGCAGCGGATTAGGGGGATGTCGGTGGGTTGGAGGGGAGGGAGCAGCTGCGGGGTGGGTTAGTTGTGTAGGTAGGGGGTGAGTTGATGGAGTAGAGTCGCGAGAAATGGTCGGACGGAGAGAGAGACAAGCGGACGACGAGAAGAACTGAACTCAATCCCAGCCAGCACTACATGACAGATAGCACAGCTCTTCCTCATGGTCGTCATCATCATCTCCGCTCTCCAACCCAGAAAAAGAGTAAAACTACTCCGTCCGTCACACACACACACACACACACACACACACACACACACACACAAAATCAGACAACAAACTCACCGTCTGCACCGTCAACTCCCTCTCCGTCACAACACCATCATACAAACCGCCCGTCACCTCCTTGACCCTGACCTCCTCTTTGCCTTCATACGCCGCCAGCCCGACGTCCGGGCACCGCGCCGCGTCGACCTGGCCGTAGTGCGGCAGGCCGTCCTCCTTGGCGACGAAGCGAATCAGGTGCGTCCAATTGCCCATTTCGGAATCGGCGGTGCTCTGCAATTGAGCCTGTTTGCTAGACGACGGAAAATGCTGCGGGGAGGTGGGCGTCAATGGGCGCCTCTGGTGCGCGAATCGCGGGGAGAGATGGTGTCGAGGTGCTGGTGCGCGGGGACGGAGCGGAGTAGTAGTAGTAGTAGTAGTAGTAGTAGTAGATGTGGCGGAGGATTTGGGGACGTGGGCGAGCAGCGGAAGCACGCGCTTGCTGGCGTAATTGGACAGGTTGCGGTGATGGGAGCAGGTTGTGATGGAGGGGAGGAGAGCGGCGCCGCGAGCGTACATATAGTCGGGAACGGCGGGGGCTAGAAAATTCATCATCAGTGATCGGAATAAGGCGCGGATATAGTGAGGGGAGGTTGACGCGGGGTGGGGTAGGGTTCGTGGTGGAGAGCGGGGTCTAGAAATTGGGCCGTGTCGTCGGCAGAGCGGGTGGGCTGGGCCACAGCTGGTTTGCCCGCCACAGTGGCTCGCGTTGGGTGCGTTTCAGGCGCGTCCCGACGCGTCTCCCGCCATAAGGTGGGCAAAATCACCCATGACTCTCGAGCACTTGGCCAAGATGTCTATCTGGACGTGTTTCCAACGCGCGTCGGTATTGGCCAGCTCAGTTCCGTCCTGAAGAATCACCACTGAAGCAAAGGCAGATATCGTAGGTGACCCAGTGGAAAAGATGACTTCTCTCGCCGCTCTATTCAATCGACCCAAATGCCATCTCTTGTCCAGCAAAGTTCTCTTCAAAGCGTTCGTTGTGCTCGCTGCTGTGCCCAGCGGCTCGGAGTGGCGTTTTGGCGATTTGAGGAGGGTGTTGAGCTGTTGCGCGTGCGTTTTGTGCGGCACGCTGGCTGGCTGGCTGGCTGGCTGGCTGGCTGTGTTGCTGTATTTGCTCCTCTAGGTACCTTGTCAAGTCTGCTGCGACCTGTTTGCGGGGGAGCGGTGTGTGGTCCTTTATCTTGACGGTGCCTTCTTGCGTTTTTTTTTTTTGTTTTTTTTTTTTTTGGACCGTCCTGTGATTGGGTTGCGTGCTCTCGACGAAGAGATCGAGTGGGGAGGTGGAAAGGCTTGAGGACAGTTGAGCGTAACTCGCGCTTGCCTTTTCGCGAGGGGACTTTTTCCACGTGTCGGAGAAGAGAGAGGTCGAGAGGTGTCTGCTCGAGGAGAAAAGAGGCAAGACTAGGAGTTGGGAATTTTGAAGTTTTCCCCGTCTTTGCTGCCAATGGAATGGAGCTCGAGGCGAGTGGTAGTGTTGCTTTCAAACCCCCCTTGAGACTCAGAAGAGAAAAGGAGAATGCCGGTTGCTTTTTCTTGAAGTAAAGCCACGGCTAGAGCTATTCTACCGTTGGCGTCGCGGCAACTTTCCAAGCACGATGACGCTCAAAGCAAACGAAGGGCTTGGAACAGACCAACAGACTGGCATGGTACCAGCTGCTCAATATGATCTTTGGCCAGGTGGACTCAGGCAAGCGGAGGTCCAGTTAGCAAAAGAGCAAAAAGACAAAAGGAAGTGCAGCTTCTGTGGATCGAACACAGTACCTCCAGATACCGCACAGGGCTGATGCTACCATTTGATGGTGGTCATTTGGTAGATCGAGAAACCGAAGTGAGACTTCAGTCTGGCGCTCTCCCAAGTGAGCTAAAGCTGCAATTGATGACAAAGCAAATGCTTTTGTGTTAATATATTGTGCATTTGACAGCCACGAACTTCGACCAGGAGCTGCAGACAATTGGTTTTGCTTGTCCATACCACAATTGACTTGGATAGAGACAATTGCAGTACTGTCTCAATCAAGTCTCTCGCGAAGAATGGTGGTAGACAAAGGGGTGTCTTGGAGAAGTAAATGATTTTCAGACGATTATGTGGCACAGCGGCACCAAAACAGATGACCAAAAAACTGGAGAGACCCAAGAAGCAGAATGATAAGAATCTGCTTGACTGGGCATCAATGGCCCCATTACCAAGACATCGGCTCAGCAAACGTTGATAGCAAGGCTGGGGCGATGAGTTTGAAGGATTCAAGAGGTGATGGTTGGGGCGTCCAAGGGGTACAGGGGCTGCGGGGAAGCGTGCGACAACCGACGGGACGCGTCCAGCGGCGCGCGTCTACCTTGCGATCGACCTTTGTCTACCAACTTTCTTCACCACAACTGTCTTTCCTCTGACCGCTCCGCCATCAATTCAGGCGTCCATGCGGAAATGTTGTACGCAAGAAAAAATTCCTCCCAGCTGCATGCCGAGCTGAAGCTAGCCGCTTGGCCATGATACAACGCCCGCACATCGACTCGGTCCGTGTCACTTGTCAACCACAGGCCGGACCTAGCATCGCAGATTGGATTTGGCCGAGCGCAGACTCTCCCTAGAATATGCTCCCGCTCGCCTCTCTGTAGCTTTGGGTCTCGTCTCGTTCCCGTCTCGGGCGCTTGTCCGGTGACACGGCGGGCTTCCAGCTTCGGGCAAACCACTGCTGCCGATGGCTTCAAGATCGATAAATTACATTTTCTGATTCGTCCTCTCTTCTTGCGCGTTCCGCCGCAGGCAAAAAAAGACTTGGTACCTGCGCCACTTGGCCCACAGGCGTCGTCACCGCATCATCAGCTGTGGGAAGATTCAATACAGACCGTATCACGAGTGACTGCTGATTTAGCTATTAGGAGAACCCCCCCCCCCTCCGCTTTCTTCTCTTGCAATGTCGCGCCCTCCCTCTCAACCTGCGCCATCCGCTTCGACATGCGGCTGATCCTCGCCGCGCTTCCAGCGTTTGCGAGCGCCCTACCTTCGCCCGACTTCAATTCCCTCTGGTACGATCAGGGTCTGTTCGGCGCCTACCCGTCGCGAGACTATGTCTCCTTCGATTTGTCTTCCCCGCGGGTGAACATCCTCTCGTGGAGCACACAATGCGACCCGGGCCACATTTTCCTCGAGCCTCGCGGGCGGTCCGTGGCGAAGCCAGGTCCCATGATTCTCGATGCCGAAGGAAACCTCGTATACATGGAGGAAAAGTTTGGAGAGGCCATGGACTTTCGTCCTCAGACTTACAAGGGGGAAGATTATCTCACATTTTGGTCCGGTACCGACGATGGGACTCACGGGCGGGGTTCTTACTACATGGTATGGCTGCTTTTGGTGGACTTTCTTTTTGGAAGCTAACGTGGGGAAGCTGAACTCTTCGTATCATGTGGCCCAGGTTGTCAACCCCACGAATGGGCTCGAAGGCGACCTCCATGAGTTTGAAATTACCCCCAACGGTACTGCGCTCATGTCAATATATGAAATCATCCCGGCCGACCTCTCGCCTGTCGGTGGACCCAAAGAGGGCTGGATATACGACGGGCTGTTCCAAGAGCTGGATATTGAAACAGGCGAAGCTCTTTTTGAGTGGCGAGCCTCCAGCTTCTACAACGTCAGCGACTCCTTTGCGCCGTTGAAAAAGAAGGGCAAGAGCAAGGACGATGCCTGGGACTATTTCCACATCAACAGCGTGGACAAGGACTCTGATGGCAACTACTACATCTCGTCGCGCTACATGCACACCATCACCTGCATTGGACCCGACGGCCAGGTTCGGTGGAAGCTTGGGGGGCACGACAGCGACTTTACCGACCTGTCGCATGGAGCCGCCTCGAACTTTTCATGGCAGCATCACATGCGCTACTTTGAAAACGATACCTTGACGATTTTCGACAATGGTGCATACGACAACAACTTTTACACTGCTGATTACAGCCGTGGACTCTACATTCAACTCGATCTCGCCAACATGACCGCGACTCTCCTGGCCGACTACGTCAGTCCCGCCCACATTCTCGCGCACTCACAAGGATCCGTCCAGTTTCTCGACAACGGAAACGCCTTTGTAGGCTGGGGACATTCCGCAGCCTTTACAGAATTCAAGCGCAGTGGAGACGTGCTGTGCGACATGCATTTCGGAAGCTCTGCATTTTTCGGCTGGGGCTGGATAAAGTCTTACCGCGCATTCAAAGGTCACTGGGTGGGACGGCCAACTTGGTCTCCTAGCATCGCAAGACGAAAGAGCAAGGTCTATGTGAGCTGGAACGGTGCGACCGAAGTCAAGAAATGGACCTTACAAGCGGCTTCCGACACCGACGGCAATTTCACGGACGTGAGCACAATAGACAACGTGGGATTCGAGAGCAGCTTCAATCTCGCCGGGAAACCCGGGTACTTCCTTAGAGCAGCGGCACTTGACAAGAATGGCGAGGTCTTGGGATACTCCCAAGTGTTGGATAGCCGTATGGGCCAGCTTGTAAGTTGACCGCAGCCTTGTCCAGGACCAGTCTTCCTCAAGAATCGAGTGCTAACCCCCACGGGTAGGTTGATGGTCCGTTCTCGCCAATGACTGACGACGACCTCGTATTCCTCCAATTCTTACTCGGACTGCTTGCCTGCGGAACCCTTGGACTTATTGTCTGGAATGTCTACCCGTCGTTGAGACTACGACGCTTCAAGCGTTTCTGAGCCTTTGCCAGCCCACCCGCAGTAGAAAGGCGTCGGTACCGACGCAGATTTGTTCTGCGCCTTGCCTCGACACATAGACTACTGTACAGCAGCCGTTCCTACCGATGACGAAGACATGACGATAACTCATGGACGGAGTAAGGGGTTGGAGAATCAGTGTAACATAATTTCGGCATTCCTGGGCGTTTGCACCTTTATACCCTACAATCGCGAGACGGATCAGTTTTCTACTCAGGTCGCTTATTCCTTTCATACACCGCGGAGGCCTTTCGATCATGCCGCAAGGATACAGCGCAACCAGACGAGAGTGGCTTTGGAAGCAAGAACAAAAAGCCTTGGTCACGAGGCGATGTGTTCGCTGCTTACAAAATTGATTGAGCACTCTCCCTCGCCCTTACACCACTCGAGAACAAGGTTGAGCGGCTTACCTTGCATATAGATAGCGCCCACGCCGGGCCGTCGGCTTAGCGTCGCTGCGCTTTGCCTAGTGATTTGTTGTCGGCGAGCCGGAAGTATAGCCGTCGGGCAATTCTTCCCTTCTCAACCCGACTCCTCCGTACTTGGAGTCTTTCTTAGGCGCCATTCGCGTGATGAGTGCAAACGTCCTCAAAGCGATCGCTGAACGAGGCCTCACCGCAAGCTTACAAAGACAGCGGAGAACAGGTGGAGCAATCAGTTGAGCGAGCAAGTTTCAGCTGTGCATGCCAGAAAGCTGTTGAAAGAGACGGTGGAAACAACTGCGACCAACTGGTATAGCGGCATCAATGACCATCCGAGTCAGGTAATGTGATAAACAACAAGCTACCGTCCGTTCCCAGATTCGACTATCAATACGTGCATTAGCTCAATTGACCAAGACGGATTCACGCAGGGACGGGAGCGTTGCGGTCAAATGGCAAACCAATCCAGGGCCGCGCGCATTCAACTTCACCCGTCCGCCCGTCGTTCTCCAGCCACCGCCGACAGCACATCAATACCGTCACCCGGATAGCATTGCGCACCGCAAAAGCTTATTCAGACAAGACGTGCTTGTCTATGAGTCTTGGACGCCGTGTTAGGAAGCCCGGTTGAACTACTCAAACAGAAAAGAAAAGCTTATAGGTCACGACATTACTTCGTTTTCGCGACCTGCCTGTTTGGGTAAGGTGCTCCCGTCTTGACTGGCTTCAACCACCCTCTAGTGCTTGACCGTACTATCTTGGCGCCGCAAGTATGAACGACAGCACTTTGCTGCTGTTGAGACTTTTCTCTTCTTTTACCCATGGTTTTGACGTGCTGTTGGGCAATCTCCATCGCCTTCTATTGCCACAAGCATCATGGCCTTGATGCGGAAAATGCGTTGTCTGACATTGCTGCTTTTTGCAGGGTTTGCCTCGAGCTTCATCCCTTCGCAGCCACTGGCGGCGAGGCAGATACCGTCGAGTCCCAACAATGTCAAGACGATCGTCTCGCCTTCTGGTGTGACAATTCGGTACAAAGAGCCGGGGAAAGAAGGCATCTGTGAGACGACGCCAGGAGTGAAATCGTATGTCTTGTCCCAAAAGTCCAGAAGCCTCCGTAACAATACAAGATATTCAGGTTACATTGACCTCTCACCGACGTCGCACTCATTCTTCTGGTTTTTTGAGTCGAGGAGAGACCCCGCAAACGACCAAATCACCTTGTGGTATGCTTGACTGGCCAGTGTTTGAACGCTCTCACTAATTACTCAAAGGCTGAATGGTGGTCCCGGGTCTGATGCACTGATTGGTCTCTTTTCAGGCAAGTCGACGCAAAAAGCAAACTGCGGAGCTGAAAACTAACAGCCCCAGAACTCGGTCCTTGCAATGTCACCAAGGACAATCGGACTTTGTTGAATCCGTATAGCTGGAACGAAGTGTCCAACCTGCTCTTCATTTCGCAGCCTGTGGGCGTGGGCTTCTCGTATGCTGAGCAGGCGCCTGGATCGCTCCAGAACGAGACTGGCGAGTACTTGAATGCCAGCCGGGCTCCCGTAGAAGGAACGTATCCCGTGACTGGCCCAGACCTTGTCGATACGTCTGACCTGGCGGCTGCTTCTACGTGGCATGTGCTGCAGGGTTTCTACAGCGCGTTGCCGCAGCTGGCCTCAACTGTCAAGTCCAAGGAATTCAATCTTTGGACAGAAAGGTACGTATGGGCTTGAAGCGG